CTACGCCTGTCCAGACCCACTCAGAAAAGCTTTTACCTAAGTATTCAGAAAGCCCATGAAGAGGATAGTGGAACCTACTGGTGCCAAGTGGATCAATACCAGCTGGATAATGAAGCTCACTGGCAGCTGAAGGCCTCAGACAGTGGTGGTGCTATCAAACTCAGTGTAAAAGTAACAGGTATGATCACACTTTTAGAAGAGTTCTGTTGGAATGTTAATGTTCTTAATGTTGTAGCTTATGTTTGCATGGATGTTTTTCTCCTCCTCTTTCCTGACTTTTCCTGATTTTTTTTTCCCTTCATTAGCCCTATAAATCTTTAACACACAAGGTAACATTAATAACTCATTCTAATCTCTTTATTTGTAATGAGAGATTATATCGAAAGAAGAGTTCAGATCAAGGAGCACGAGTATATTTAAGAGCCCAGAGACAGCTGACATTAGTAAATCACTGGTGATTTGATCAGAGCTGTGTCTATACTGTGAAGTGTCTGAAAGTTAGAATTAAATATTTGGTAAGGTGAGAATACATTTATAAAACAACTGGACAAAAACATTTTCAAAGGATTTACACCAAGTTTCTTAAGAAATTGAATTATCAGGAGCAAAGCCAGAGAATAGGGATTAATGTACAACGTAAAATGTTTCCTGCCTGTGATTCCCCCCTTGTCCCCTGGAATTTCATTAGGTCTTACTGATACCTTGTTAAACAGAAATTTTATCCTTGTGCGTATTCACAGAAAACAATCTCTCTATTCCAAAGGAGGAAGCAGAGATGAATACAAGCAGAAACCAGGATTTGACTATCCCCTGTAACATCAACAAACAATCCAGCCATGAATCCAAGTTCCAGGTCACATGGTTTTGGCAGAAAGAAATAGAAACGAAACAGCGCCCCATATTTACAGTCTACAGAAACTCGACTCTACAGGACAGGTTTGGGGAGAATGTTCGCCTTAGATATGACCACCCTGACCCCAGCCAATTCAGCCTCACGTTCTTGAACCCTGGTCCTGAAAATAGTGGCCTGTATTTCTGTGAGGTAGAGGAGTGGCTGCCTTCTCTGTCTCGTGGGTGGAGAAAAGTTGCAGTGGAAAAGTCAGGGCATTTCAATGTCAGTGTTCTCACGGAAGGTAGGCATGTCTTAACACATTTCTCTTAACACGTCATTTTTCTCAGTAAATATCAAAAGATGTGGAAATACCTTTCTTTGTCTTCGTCTTTGCAGGTGATGCTAATGCCGATTCTGAATGTAGCACAAGGACTTATATAATAATAGCTATTGTAATTCTCATCGTCTTAGTTTTAGTCCTACTGCTACTCGTAGTCACGATGTGCAGAAGTAAAGGCTCACTGGGAAACAAGTCAGGGCCATCTCTCTGGGGTGAATCAGTGCCTATGAACACCAGTCGAAGTGGAGATGACTGAACAGCAGAAGCTTTTTTTTTTTGTTTTTTTTAAATGCACATATGCAAAAGTTTTCAGTTGGACTCCACCTACTTTTAGACAAGTGGTCCCCCACACTTGTTCCAGAACTCGAGGGGACTGATCTTTCCAAGCTGTTGCACCAAGTCTGTGGAATGCACTTCCTCTATCTGTACAGCGTTTGGACTCGGTGGAGACCTTCAAAAAGCAGCTAAAGACATTTTTATTTCGAAAATCTTTTAATTAGACCAGGGCTTTTATGATGTATTTATGACTGTATTGTGTTTTTGATACCTCTCTTGTGAAGCACTTTGTGACATCTGTCTGTAAAATATGCTACATAAATAAACTTTTACATTTACTTTACTGTTCTTTTACTTTCTGCCTTTACAAGTGTCCACTTTATTTGAAATAAACAAACAAAAAGCATCTATACAGGCAGCTTACATGTGTGGATCTGTGCAAAGTTGACAGCGTAAAATTTGCTTGAAAACCCCACGTGGGCGTGCGACATCATCTGTGAGTACCACAGATGATGTCGCATCATCTGTGGTACGTGTGAGTGGTGCACACGTATTCAAGGTTTTGTGAGCGAGGAGAGGTGTTACGTGTAGTTTCAGACATTTGTATGCACAGAAAGGGTTTTTATAGAGAAAATTATCCATTTGTGAGCAGAACACAGGGGCACTAAAAGTGGAAGGGTCATCTCATACAAACTGCTCTTTCGGGTCCACATCATCTTCAAGATTAACAAATTGCATCAGGAGAGTCCCAGCATTTACTCATTGGTCTATTTTCACTCTACTTTTCTAATGGCAGAGCAAAATTTGTTCCTTATTCTTTCTTTCCTTTCTTCGTGTCACCTGTATCTTTTTTTAACATTACCCATTGCAGTCATCTGTATTTCTCCTTTCTTCTTTTTACATCACTTCTGTCTACTGTCTTTTCATGTGTACCTTACTCATTCTGTCTGCACTGTAGAGTCAGTGTTTACCACCTGGAATGCACTGGGTTGATTGGCTGACTAGTATCACGTGGGATGGCTTAACTCGCATCAAGTTGGTCTGTGCATTTCTTCAGCCACTGAACCTAGATCATAACCTTCTGTTTTGGCTGTAGGTCCGGGTCTGTATAGGATAACAGTCTGCCTGTTGGTGACCTCTGGTCAATAACAGTCCATGAAATAGCTCTACCAGTTTACTTTCAGTGCGAATACAAATACTTTTGAAGAATAAAATCAGCACTTTGATAAACTAACATACCAAAATAAAATGTGTTGCTCTGCAAATACTCAGACTGCAATGCACTGTATATATATTCTCATATATTTATGTATAAGTACTAGTGAGATTCTGAGTGTCTGCTATTATTTGCCTTGGTTGTATGGTTGCTGCACTGGCACAAAACTGTATAAATCCAATCAAACTTTTGATGCTTTTCCTCCATCTGTCTCACACTCTCCTTCTTTCTCTCCTCCTCTTTCCTGACTCAATTTTTTCCCCTTCATCAGCCCCATAAATCTTTAACACTCCATCTGTGTAAGAAAATGGAATAGAATCTACTTATTGCGTTTGCTTTTGAGAGAACAGCCATAGACATCAGATTACTGTCATACTGAGGAAGGCTCTTGTGTGGTGATTGTGTGCAAGTTGGGGTAAAACTTGCAGTGTTTCTCTGAAAGACGCGAGAGACTGAAAGAACACTCAGGAACTTTATGGCAGACTGTAGTTCTCTCAGCCCCAGAGAGATGGTGTTGTGCTGCCTCCATGATGGTTTTATCATCATTTCACAGCCTGGTGGACTGGGCTCCTTGGTACAGCTACCCTCGAAAATTTTGTCTAATTTCACTTCCTTGTGTTTCCATGGCAATGCTTGTCAGTGCAAACAAAGAAACACTGAATTTGGGAGGCAAATCAATGCTTGTAACTGTGTAGTAAAGGCTAGCAGAGGCAAAATCGCATCCACAGCAGCAGCCAGCTTCTTTGTCTTTAATATGCTAATGTTTGAGTTTTTATAAACAGTCAGCACTTGATTTATGACAATTGTGCAACTTTTCTAAATACAGGAACAGCACTGCTGTGAACTTAAAACACACAAATGCTGTAGTGAAATCAGTGATTTAATAGTGGTAGGCATCCAGTGTCTGGCAAGAACACTACTCTTACAAAAACCAGTCTCTGTTCATACTCGTTTACATGACAAACTGGCAGTTGTACACTCAACAGTTATACTCTACAGTATCAGCATACCTGAATGGCACGGTGACACAATGTATTTTATTTTCACTTTTACTTGTGTTGATCCTGTCACCTCTCTAGCAACACCATGGGGACATTTTTGGTAAAATGTCTCCACAACAGATTTACTGACGTGAACCAGGCTCCCAGTAGTTGGATAAGATTTGGCGTTTGTATGAAATAATTTCTTTGCTATAAAACACACACACATGCTAAAAAGCACAAATGAGCCAGATAAATGATCATTTCTTTTTTAAACAATAATACACAGAAAACCCCAACAATCAGAACACTCTCTTTGAGCCAGCACTTGGCAACGATGGTCCATATAAACAGTCCAGATAAACAGTGGGTGAGGGGGCTGAGTATGGAAAAGGGATCTGACAAAAAAGGTTTTGCCAAATCAAACATGTGGATCATAAAAATGAGATTTCCATACCAGATTGGTTGGAGCCCCGATTAAGGAATTTAAATGTGGGGGATATGGCTGGTATAGAGACAGAGACCTGGCTAATATAATTAAGAGAAGGGAGGAAGCTATTCTGTGTGCAGAAGATCGGGTGGCAGGGAAGCAAAACCAGGTACAGTGAAGAGGGATTCAAAGAGTTCTACCATAGTGCAGATAGGAAAACAAATAGGGCAGGGTATTCTTGAAGGAAGAGTGTACTCATGGTGTTGTGGAGGTTAAGAGTATCAGACAGGATCATGAGTATGAAGCTAGAAAGTGAATGGGGGATTTTGAATGTTGTCAGTGCAAATACCCTAAATGTTGGATGTCAGAAGAGAAAAAAGAATTCTGAAGCATTTTGGATAAAGTAATAGAGAGTGTCCAAAGGTGGGAGAGAGTAGTGTCTGGAGCAGACTACAATGGACATGTGGTTGAATGGAAAACACAGGTGACGAGATGTTGAGATAGAAAGGGCTGCAATGAACACATACTTCAAGAAGGCTGAAATAAGAATGGAAGAAAGTACACACACAGGTAGACAGCTTATCAAGAAGGTGCAGTCGGAAATAAATACAAGACGTCAAGGTTGTCGCAGCTGATTAGGCAGGCTGGGGTCAAACACAGACCACATGGTGCAGAGGTTTTGGACATTTGAGTAGTTTTTTTATTTCCATCATGACACCAACACCCCTACTGGAGTGGTATAACTGTGTTAGGAGGTACAAATCTTTTAGTTCTCTTCACTGACATGTTGAGTAGGATGATTCTCCTTCACTGTCTGAGAAATGTATTTATGCCATGCTACCAGATTGGATGGCTGTCTTACCTGTGTCACCAATAAGGTGATATCTTCACTCGCACATCCTCCTCCCAAGTCAACCGACATGATGCTCTGCTCTCAGCCTTTCTCATATGTAAGGCACTAAAACTCTGTTTTTAATTAGCTAACAAACCATGTGCTGTTCCACAAAGGGGCTGGCACAAAAGTAATATTAAAACTCATCACTTCGCTAGAAAATTGTGTCTATAATATCAAAAGTAAAAATAATCAATCTGAAGAAAAACATTCCTCCAAAGTGGGGAGGGAGGGTACACCTCGCCCTGTGGTGCCTGGGAAAGGAAACTCTGATCAATTTTATTCAACTCAATTCAAGTATCTCAATTTAATTATGACATGTTCAGTAACATCATGTATGCAGTAACATCATGATGAATTACAAAGCAGCACTAACAAAATGGATGGAGTGAGAATGCTGAAAACAAACAAACAGTTGTTGATTTGCTGTCCTTAGATTAAGTTCTCTCCTCATGTAACAGTAACAGAAATTATGCATTTACAGGTAAGAATGCGGCAAGGAAAGGTTAGATAGTAATCTGTAGGGGGATTTTGAAAAAGGAAGCACATGAAGGTAGCTGCAATGATTAAATGGTGGGAAATGAAGAAGCAAGAATGTTGCACAGAGTACAGGGAGGAGTTGAAACACGCTCTGGGTTGCAGGAAAAAGTTATCACATAACTGGGAGAGCACAAATGAAGTGCTGAGGAAAACTGCCAAGAAAGAAAGAGGGCGAGGAGATTTGGTGGTGCAATAAGGAAGTACATGACAGTATTCAAATGAAGCGGTTAGCAAAGACAAAAGGGGAATAGTCACTAGATGAAGAAAGTAGACAGGAGTACTGGGGGGCTTATCCTTAAAAACACAATAAGTTTCTATCACGAAAGTTGTGGGGCTGGAGCCTTTCCCAGGCACCACAGGGCGAGGTGTACCCCGGACAGGTTGCCAGCCTGCCACAGTGCCAAGGTTTTTAAAAGTAGAAACTGCTGCTAAAGTTCTTTATGCCTTTTCAAACATCCTTAAAATAACAATCAGAGGAGAGACTGACAAAAATTAAAAACGTTATTGTCTTTATTTTATGAGCACTTCATGTTTCTACATCTAAAAGTAAAGTTCCCCGCCATTTTCAAGCAGCCTGGTTATTGAATTGCCAATTTGAATAGGACTGGTTAAAACTGTATGTCTTTATGTTCTCCGCCAGGTGGCACTATTGCGTCATTAATATACAGCATCATTCAAACAAATAAATTCAAGCTTGCAGAGTTTGGAGAAAGGGGCCAAATTTAGATGGAGTGGTTCTAAGCAGCCTAATTAGCTACTTTATCTCTCGAGCTGCCTATGCAAGAATATAATCATGGATGTAAATACGTTTTTTAACTGAATCGATGAATAATTGAATCCAAAAAATCTAAAAGTTAGAAATTATTTTTGTATTTGTATTTATTGTCAGAGAGGAAGTAGCTGCAAAGGTACAATCTTTGTGACAAGGACAGGGGGACTGGGGAAAATTATCTTTCTCTGAATTTGTCAAAAACTTGCGTTACCTGCTGGAAACAAGCAAAGTCATTGAATTAGTTTAAGGTGAAAATGTCCAGCAGGTTTTATTTTTGATTTATTATATTTAATGCTAAGTCTTGCAATGGTCAATTTATGAGCTGGACTGGGATGCCCTTCTCTCTATTTGATCCCCACACCTTTTTGTCCCTCCAGTTTTTCCACTTCTTCGTATGTTTTCTCACGTCCAGTCCCACAGGCTTGGCAATTTCATTAGATATGTATCCTATGAATCCTTTTATTGGGTTCGA